GATATAAAGATCGAACTCTTGGGGTAATAAGAGTCAGCGGTAGCTGATAGAATACCTATTCACTATAACGAACTGTTGCCTCTAGCTCTATAGAAGCTCTGAGATGCTATTGGTTGAGGCGGGTTGGATATACATATTACCCCAGTGATTCTCAGGTCCCCACCTGCCGAGATACTCTCAGCTAATTGGACTAGTCTCACTCCTGTTTGATGAGTGTGCTTGTGCATTGTAAATTGTAGTGAAGATTTATATTAGTAGGCACATGCTATCATCTGTGATGGCTAAGGCCCGGCCGGGCTGAGGCACCATTTCCTAATACAGTTAGTGGATTCTGGGGTATGGGGGCAGAGCTCGGCGGAGAGATGACTCAGCAGGCTGCTAGCTGCTTACCGCTTACCCCTTGCTCTGATAGAACCAAGATCCGCATTCTGCCTGCAGAACTATCGCCTCTGTAGGCGGTCAATGCAGCTTTGTGTTTTGACACTGTCTTTGCAGGTAGAAGAATGCCAGACATAAGCAATGAGTTTTAATTCTATCTAAATACTACCTCTTACTCTCTATCGACATATTTATTTATTGCTAGATCTTTCTCTAGTAAGAATCCTGAGCTTAGTCCCAAGAACAGAAACTCTTCTCCAATCCACAGCTACAGCCTGTCAGACGAGATAAGCTGATAAGCACCGCCTATAAAACCCGCCGTATAGCATATTTCCTTCTCCCCCACAATTTCCTCCCCCTCTTTTCCTGTTCCCATCTGCGCCAAACCTCCATCCTACACCACCCTCTTACACCTACCCCCCAGCAAAACCCCCGCCATGACCGCCGAAGGCCTCACTCCGGAGCAACTCGCCTTCTTCCACGAGAACGGCTACCTCGTCCTGCCCGACCACCTCACCCCAGCCGAGGTCCAACGCTGCCTCACGGAGACCAACCACCTCCTCGACACCTTCCCGCTCGACACCCACCCGCTCACGCAGTTCACCACGGGCGACGACGACTCCCACAAGGACCACGTCGGCGACGACTACTTCCTCACCTCGGGCGACAAGATCCGGTTCTTCTTCGAGCCGGACGCCTTCGACCGGGCCACGCCGGGCGCGCTCCTCAAGCCCAAGCAGCAGGCCGTCAACAAGATCGGCCACTCCCTGCACAGCCTGTCCCCACCGTTCCGCGAGGTCAGCCTGACCCCGCGCAACGCCGCCATCGCCCGCTCCCTCGGCTTCCGCGACCCCCGCGTCCTCCAGAGCATGGTCATCTGCAAGCAGCCCAGCATCGGCGGCGCCGTGCCCAGCCACCAGGACTCGACCTTCCTGTACACCGACCCGCCCTCCGCCGTCGGCTGGTGGTTCGCGCTGCAGGACGCCGCCGTCGAGAACGGCACCCTCGGCATGGTCCCCGGCTCGCATCGGCGGAATGGCATCGCGCGGCGGTTCGTGCGCCGCGTCCCCGATGGCAGTCGCGGGACGGAGTTCGTGGAGAATACCGGTGCCAGGGTGCCCAAGGGCTCGGTTGAGGATGAAACGCGAGAAGAACGGGAGGTGCAGCTGTTGGATATCAAGGCCGGCTCGTTGGTGCTCATTCACGGCAATGTCCTGCATCAGAGCTCGAGGAATACGAGTCCCCGGAGTCGGTTCGCGTATACGTTTCATGTCATCGAGGGCGCCGAGGGCTGGGTCTATGATGAGCGGAATTGGTTGCAGCCGCCCGAGAATGGGGAGGGGTTTACGCGGTTGGTTTAGGGGTGGGGCTGGGGTTGTATATTCTTGACGACGGTTTGTGGATGGGGCAGTGTAGCTGCAACGATTGTATATGCAATGAAAATTAGCCTGTCAACTATGTCAATGTGGAGATACTTCGTAGACCTTCATGTCTATCTTTTGGTTTTGCTGGGGTATCATGGATTGCGCTGACTACTACGGAATAACTACTTGATGGCGTTGCACCCGCTGGGCGGCAAACTCCCACTTCCCCTCTCAACATCGACTAATAATCCAACACAACACAATCGTGCCCTGTGCCAATACCACCACGTCTATCCTCCTCTCTTTTGGGGGAGGGGACGTTTCACCAAGAATGGATTCTCGTCCCCAAAGGCTTTGTTCGGCGGTTTCCAACCGTTCGTTCCCTGTTCTTTCAAACGCGTTGAAAGAATACAAAGCATGGCCAACCCACCCTTTCATTTGCAAGTGGACAATGATCCAGCGGCCAAAAATATGTCGCCCACAAAGGGCCGGAGGCTGCTAGTCTTTCACCGGTGATGGACTCAAGCAACATAATTATAGATTTCCGTCTGGGTGGGAAGTGGCAGTAGATGAACGATGTACATAAAGCCTGACCGGTAACGTTTCTCTTCCTTGAGAGACACATATTGGCAATCTTCTGACTCCTCATCGAAAGAATCAACCTAGGACTGCGATTTACAGATTCACCGTCACGTCAACTTGCATTTAACCTACCAGCGCGTATTATGTGCTTTCCAACCAAGGCAGATTCAGGGCCTGGTTCCTCACAATCCAAGAAGAATGCCCCTCCCCCCCAAAATAAAGTAACAAAGTCCTCCCCGGCGAGAGCGTCCCGGCAGAAGTCCCGCGCAAGGCCCTTCCCTCGTGATTCACTGTCGCCGGAATTGGTTGCCGCTGCCATAGAGAGAGCTAACACGAAATCTCCGGATCAGGATCCACAATCATCAAAGGATGCTGCTGCTGCTCCTGACGTACAAGCAAGTACCGCTGGTGATCCACCGTTACCAAAGCCTGTTGCCGCTCCTCAAGCAACAGCAAGCACAAACCCCCCTGCTCGTGATCCACCATCGCTGAAGCCTGTTGCCGCTCCTAGAGGAACAGTGACAGCGAGACCCCTAGCGCGCAAGCCAACAGTGGGAATGTCCCTTGCGACGTTTGCGAGACCAGCAATTGCCGCTCCCCGCACTCATGTTCCTCTGTCAGTGGCTCTGGCACAAGCAAAATCATATCCCCTCCCTGGCGGTCCATTGTCGCCAGATTCGATTGCTAGACTAAAAGCGTACGCGAATCGCAAACCTCGTCCTCGTGATCCACTGGTGGCAGAGACCCTTGGGACTCTTGCAGCAATAGCGAAAGCGACTCCCCCCACTCGTGATCCACTGTCGCTGGGGTCTGTTGCCGCTCCTAAAGCAGAAGCGAAAGCGAAATCCCCCCCTCCTCGTCCGTTGTCAAGAAAGTCGATTGCAACTCTGAAAGCAAAGACGCTCGGGAACATCTACTATGACCTCAACCGTGTTGGCAAGGTGCGCATTAACGTGCGGGAGGGCAGAAAAATCACCACCGACCGCACGCGCTACTGGCATGAGTGCAAGAAGGCAACGAACTTCATCAGTAAGATCGTAAATCTGGTCGCAGGGCTGGATGATTCGTACCATTCCGCCGAAGGCTTAGCGCTCTCGGACGAGGTTGATGACCTGCTGCAGCGCATCGGTTGGGAAGGGTTCGCGATCGCTGCCTACTCGGAAGCCTTTCGGCGCCTCCTCTCCCTAGACCAAGAGGTCGACGCCCAGCTGCGGCAAGAGGTACTTGAGGCCCTCACGGCCAACAAGAACAGTCTGGAGCTCTACGGCCGCGTGCGCAACATCGACTGGCGTGGCCTGCTGCTCCCGTACTCCAACGACAACATCCGCTACATGGGCCCGGCGCTGAAGCTCGTCAAGAAGTTCTGGGACCGCCATCCGCACGAGCTTGCGATCCCTCTCGACGGCGGAGACCATGTCATAACCCCGAGTTACGATAATCATCGTCAGCCCAATGTCACCAAGAACATCTGGGACCCCGCAGACTGGAAAGACCACGTCGACCCGAAGGACAACCCCGAAATTAACGTCACCATGCGCTGGGCACATGTATATGATTTGGGATGTTGCGACTTCTGCGAATCCCCGCATGTCTGCCGGTGCGAGGTGCAGTCGATGCCTGGGGAGCTCGTGGAGCTCGTCAAGACGGCGGACCGGGGCATCGGGGTGCGTGCGCTGTGGCCCTTCCGCAAAGGGGACATTCTGGGCGAGTACATCGGGCGGCTCATCCCGGACGGCAGCAGGCCGGATCAGACCTATGCTCTGGGGTGGGAGGCGCTGAGTGACCCTCGTACCCGAGGCATAGTGTCCGTAGACGCATACTACCAGGGCAACTGGGCCCGGTTCGTCAATCATGTTTGCGAAAACGCGTCGGTGGAATACCGCTGCAGAACCTTCGGGGACCGCGCTGCCATGACGCTCGAGGCCACGCGGGATATCGCCATGTATGAAGAGCTTACAGTCAACTATGGGCCTAAGTACTGGAAAACGAGGCAATGCCGCTGCGGGTCGTCCAACTGTTATTCCGCAAGGCAGGCGGAAGCACCACCGAAGAAGGGGAGAGCAAGAAAAACTGGGATGGGAATTTCTCTCAGGGAAATCCAGGAAGCTGTGACGGGAAAGGACGTTGCGGAGGAGTCACAAGCCGTACAAGGAAACGCCGGTGATGATGGTGAGAACATGGTGGGAGGCGGAGAAGGTGAAGAGGTGCTGTGTCCAGATCCATCATCCAACGTGGTCATATACCAAGATCCGCCAAAGAACAATGGTGGAGATGGTGACCACCCAGAGAAGGATGACCACAAGGACAAGAACTATGTTCCCGAAGACGATAGTGATGGGGACGATGATGATCCAGGACCGACGGTGGTGGAAGCAGCGGAAGTGATGGATCTGAGTGGTTGAGGGAGAAACTGAGACTGAGTCAATGATGAAGCTGTTGAATAGAGCGTATACTGTATACTGTACTGTTGTATAAGTTAGGTAGAATCATAAGAAGATGTTACTAAGCTTCAAGGTTAGGTGAATAACTAGGTAATCCAAGGTCAATAATCCCAATTGGGAAGGCAGGCACAACCCCGCATTTTCTCCCCACAACACGTGAGGGGAAAGACACTCTCACTGAGTGAATGACCTCAAACCACCTCGTTTTCTGCTCTCATTCTTCCCATCGACTTGCCTTCATGTACTCTCTGGGTGCAAAAGGAACATCACCTTATATCAAACTCTGACCCATAACTTATACTTGATCCATACCACCATACCACTGCCACTGCCACTGCCACTGCCGCCTTGAAGCAAGGGGTGAGGTACTCTACATTGACGTCTTCCACCGACGACAGACTTGATGTAGCTCCCATCCGATCCGAAATACTGCCAATGTATCGCTTCAATACAATCGTCCGCTGTCACCCTTGGAGGTCACACTGCCTGCCAAGAAACCTCCGGTCGTCGATAGCGTCCCGGCGCGGACTCCTTACTCAGAGCTATGCCCGAGGGCCATCCGAGGTAAGCTGCTGCACCTCGCCCAAAGCGTCCACCCTCTGAAGCTGACATTCGGTTCCTTCAATCTGAAGCCTCCGTTGTTCGATTCGACGGTTGGCGATCATTTCGCCCAGATTGTCAAGGTACATGGCGACCGCACAGCGTATGTCTACACTGGATTTATCTTATCTGCAGGCCAGCCACAGCTGATTTCCCGCTAACCGATTTGGACCCAGCGTCATCTCCAAGCATCAAGACGAAAGACTAACATATGCCGCTCTGGACGCTAAAAGCAATGCGTTTGCAAGGGGCCTGGAATCCATCGGGGTGCGCCGAGGTGACCGAGTCGGAGTCATGTTGGGAAACTCCATCGAATACGCCATCGTATGCAAACAGCCTGCAATAGAATACCCAGTCGAAGCGAGGAACCAGCAGCTTACGAGGTCTCTATAGGTAACTTATGCACTGTTTAAATTAGGAGCAATTCTGGTGAGTCTAATGCCATTCTACGGAATGCGTGAAAGTAGTCTCATTCGTTCAGGTACCCATCAATCCATCATTCAACACCACTCAGCTAGCATCGGCCCTAAGTCACCTCGATACAAGCCATCTGGTAGTCAGTGCGGAGTCAAATTTGCCCCGAAAGCCTCCACGGAGCAATGTCCCACTTCTGGAGACTATCGTGCCGGATCTTACCAGCCCTCGACTAAAGTCAGAAATCATCCCTTCACTGAAGAATGTTATTCTTGTCGACAACTCTTCTGGTCGCTTTCAAGGCACCGACTACCGGGTACTTACGCCATATGCCTCACTTACATCAGACGCTGCCTCTGATGGGAGCTCTCTACCACCGCAGAACCTGTCCCCTGATGACATTATTAACATTCAATTCACATCCGGAACAACTGCAATGCCCAAGGCTGCCTGTCTGACGCACCGCTCAATTCTGAACAACGGCTCCCAGATCGGAGACCGCATGCGCCTCACCCCGGAGGATATTGTCTGCTGCCCCCCACCTCTCTTTCACTGCTTCGGCTCTGTTTTGGGGTACATGGCGACGGGGACCCACGGTTCTTCCATTGTGTTCCCGACTGAGTCCTTTAATGCTAGAGCCGCTCTCAAAGCAGTGCAAGAAGAACGGTGCACAGCCCTTTACGGTGTGCCCACCATGTTTCTCGAAGAGCTCAGTCTGCTCGAGAGTGGCGAGGTCTCGCCCGAAGGTTTCCAGTACCTCCGGACTGGCATCGCAGCCGGAAGCAGCATTCCAGCGGAGTTGATGAAGAAGCTTCACAAGATTCTCAACCTCACCGAACTGACCATCTGCTACGGCATGACCGAGACCAGCCCAGTCTCCGCCATGACTACAACCGACGACCCGATCGACAAGCGTATCCATACCGTCGGCACTCTCCTGCCCCACGTGGAAGCCAAAGTGGTTGACTTGACCGACCACCGCAAGATTGTTCCCGTCGATGTCCGCGGAGAACTAGCCGTCAGCGGCTACCTCCTGATGAAAGAATACTGGAACGACCCGAAGAAAACAGCCGAGGTCATGATTCCCGACGAGAACGGGAAAGTCTGGATGCACGTATGTCATTGAGTTCCTGAGTCTGATGATCGATCCCACTAATGATGACTACCTAGACTGGTGACGAGGCAACCATCTGCCCAGATGGCTACATCACAATCACAGGCCGCGTCAAAGACCTTATTATACGCGGTGGCGAAAATATCCATCCCCTCGAGGTAGAAAATTGTATTCTTGCCTACCCCGGAGTCTTGAATGTTTCGGTCGTTGGAGTTCCCGACGAACGATACGGCGAGGCGGTGGCTGCCTTTATCATACACCGAGACCCCGACGGTGAGGATGCTAGGGAGGAGAAGGTCAAGAGATATGTCAACGAGACGCTGAGCAATCACCTTGGTGCGTACAATCCAAGGGTCTTTCAGATTCGAGAATTGCTAACAGCTGAAACAGTCCCTAAATACGTGTTCTTCCTGCCGTCCTCGGAGTCGTTCCCGAAAACTGCGAGTGGCAAGGTTCAGAAATTCATGCTTCGTGAGATTGCAGTGAAGAGCTTGAAGGAGAGGGAGAGCCATTCTGCATGATGGACTGGCTTATCGATAAGGGCATCTACGCTACATGAGGAGCTATTGGTTAGGGTGGGAACTTACTTTGCCATGTAACTACTCCTGGGATCTATCAGAGTTGAATTGGAAAAGTACATAGATGTAAAACATTTCACTCCATGATGGACAAAAGATGAATTATGGGTAGACAATTAGCGCTACGATTCGAATGCGCGCCATGAAACTTACTTATCATGGACATATTTGATCGAGCGCTGCATGATGAAATAGTTGGTTCTCTCAGACAAACAGCAAATAAACTCCGTTGGCATTTCCAAGGGTATAATCGCTAGCTATGCGACGAAGACGCTCCACGTGCATCCAGACAAAAGACACTCTCTTTTCGAGTGTACAGTGAAATAAGCCAGTCCGTGTCCAAGCGAACGGACGGACGGCCATGTCGCAAATATCCAAACAACACCCAATGCCCAAGAAACCGATCTTTGGACTGGTGCATATCGAACAATCGTCTTTCTATCCACAACGACTTGTTCGTTCCAAAGATGATGTCCAAGAAGATGTCCAAAACTCCGCACTGCAAAAGTTGAGACCCTAGAGTTCAGTAGGAACCCTTCCTCAGTGCCCTCGCCCAACCCCAACCCCAACTCCAACCCCCACAAGACATCCCCCTTATCTCGTGCACTTCACCCCAGAATCCACCTTCAACCGAGCATGATCATGCACGGCGCGGCTCCCCTCGGGCACAACCGGCGAACAGCACGGAGTCCCCCTCACCCAGGGATCCGCCAGGATGTTCTTCATCGTCAGCCGCTGCTCGGGAACCGGATGCAGCATCCCCAGCACGAGCACCAGCGCTGCGTAATCCGGGTAATCCTCGCCCTCAAACCCGCGGCCGCACAGGGGCCATCTCCCGGCGGCGGCGTCGAGGGTAGTACCGGTCTTCGCCCAGAACCGCCGCCACCCTTTCACAAAGCGACCGTAGTGTTCGTCCCCGGGGTCGATCGCGTGCCGCCACGGGTACCCCAGCCCCAGGATCTGGCGGGCCGTGAGGGCGCAGGCCCAGATGTCGGCGGCGCGGGGGTCGTACGTCGGTGCGGCTGCAGCTACAGCCACATTTATTGTTGCTGTTGCTGCTGTCGTTGCTGCTTCTGCTTCTGCAAGAGCAACGGCCGTGCAATCGGCCAGCCACATCTCCGGCGCGATGTAGGGCTCCGTCCCGGTCACGGGCGAGGTCGCACTCACGGTGATCGGGAGCGGGGTGCATTCGGCCCCGGAGGGCTGCTGGGAGCGGGAGCGGAAGCGGAAGGCGAAGCCGAAGTCGGCGAGCTTGAGCCGGGACCCCCCGCCGGTGAGGAGGAGGTTCTCCGGTTTGAGGTCCCCGTGCGCGATGCCTTGGCTGTGCAGGTAGCTTAGCCCGAGGAAGAGTTGCTTGATGAAGCAGAGTTGCGTGGCTTGGGGGAGGAGCAGCGCTTTGCTGGTTTGTGAGGTGGGCGGGTACAGCAGGTCGTACACGTCGCCCTGCGCGCAGTGTTCCATTAGGTAGCCTAGTTGGTTGCTGCGCGGGGGGGGCTCGGTGGTGGTGGTGGTGGTGGTGGTGGTTGAGGCGCTGAGGATGGAGCAGACTGTGGCGGCTATGGTGGTGGGGATGATCTCGCCTAGCACGAAGGTCTGCACTAGGTGTGGGTGCGGTGGCAGCTCGAGGGCCAGCTTCGCCTCCTGGCGGAGGATGAGCTCGGCGCGTGGTTGTCCGCTGCAGGTCTTTAGGGCGTAGAGCTGCGCTTTCTCGCTTGCGCCGCTTAGGTCGGCGCTGAATACGGCTTGCACGGTGCCGTTGCCGCCGTGGCCGAGGTGGTGCCTTGGGAGGAGGGCCAGGTGTTTGGAGTTGTATGGGTAGGGGAGGACGGGGAGCGGAGTGAGGGGTTTGAAATGGAGGAAGGTGGATTGGGTGGAGGAGGAGGAGGTCTCGTTTGTGGGGGTGTTGGAGGTTTTGTTGTTGCTTGGGCTGGAGGAGGAAGAAGAAGAAGAGGAGGAGGAGGTGGTGGTGGTGGTGGAGGTAGTGGCGCTGCCCTCCACGAGCGAGCTTTCCATGCTCGAGATACACATTCTGTTCGAGTGCAGGCGAATTGGGAGAGTGGCCGCTGTTTGCATCTTCAGGGCAGCAGCTGCTATCGCTGGTAATACTGATAGTGCTGGTCGACTATGTGATGATGATGATGATAATGATGATAATGATGACGATAATGGGACAATGCTCAAAGCCCCGTCTGATATATCGACAGCCTATTGTTCGAGACAATAGGTATATAATCTTCTGCGCTTCGAGGTGCAGAAATCAGATGCCGTGCAGTATATAGAGCCTGCTAGGCGAGGAAAGAGGGTGAAGGACGAGGAGAAGAAGGGTGGAAAGGATGAATAAGGATTATGTCAATGACAAGATTGGATGAATGTCACTGACGGGTAAGAATAGGCGTATGCCAATATGTAAAGGTGTGAATAGTGGTGCTTCAGACAATCATGATATTGCTGCTGAATGCACAAGACAGCAGAGGTGGGAAACAGGGAGAAAGGACAAAAAAGATGGAAGAAGAGACGAGATGGGCATGGATGAGTTCTTCCTCCCTCGCCAGCAGAAGATTCATATGGGGGATGACAGCATTATTGCTGAATTGCTTCAGCTTTTCTCCTTGACTTGATTGCCGGGATGAGGGTTATTCGGGCTCGCTAACCGTGGGCTCGGGTGAAAATTGTGCTGAGCAGCATCGTGACGATGTAATTCTGGAAGTGGATTCCATGGGCAGGCGTTGAGAGTTGAAGAATGCGTTTAGTTTGTGAGAGGAATACAATTCTGGACAATCATGGAGGTGACAGGTATGGATGTCATGCTTTGGGAAAAAAGATGCTTTAGAGACATCTCTTATCAACTACATGAGAGAGAACAAGGAATGAGTGTGTACAAGCTGCCTCTCCATTCCCATCTTTACATTGTGCATTGTTTGGCATTCACCCAAGTACCTATACATACATTCACTAAGCTGTATACTAAATCATTCACCAGCAGATAGTGGCTCGGCACAAAATCAAGATCCTTATGCGTGGCTTGAATTTTCCCCGTAGGCTTTCCCCGCTGGAAACCTGTGTACCATGTGCTCCAATTACCCACGGTCCGGCATCAGCCTGACCCAGCAGCTGAAAGGGGAAGTGACTCACTACGTCAGTCGACTCCTGCGGAAGAGATATCCAAGCTCTGATGCAACAAGCACGGGGGAGGGGCGTGCTAGGACAATCGACCCCTCCGCCAAAGCCAATTCTTAGCGAGCCGTGGAAGAGATCCCCAGTCCTGATCTGGTCTCGGCCGTCTGCCGGCCGAGGAACATTCGGCTCCAGCCATGACGTGGTGGTCTGGTATTCAATGACGCATGCTTGGGCTGTTCCTCCATGTCGGTCTTGACAGGCCTCGGAAAGGTCGTTCTGACGAGTATCAAACGCCAGTATGTCAACTTCCGTTGTCTCTGCAGTATGCGAGAACGGAATCCAGTCATAGAGCTGCGCCGCAAAGAGCAAGTCATCACTCATCAGAGGCTGAGACAGAAAGCACGAGAAGAATCGTAGGTCAAAGTACGAGTTAACGCTCGGGACGAGCCGAGACTGCCCCGAACTGCGGCGTATCCGGATCCGCAAAACAACTGATCACGGCAAAGCGACTCAAAAGTCCTGAATGCCAGTCTCACCTTGAAGCCGAGACCTGATATCCCCACTGTCCTCGCCCTCGCCCTCGACAATCCATTCCGGCTCCTCGTCGTCAAAGTACTGTTCCTGCGCCTCGTTCCAATCGTCATATTCATCATTGTGATCGACGGTGGTGTAGTCGAAATCCGTATCCTCGCCCCGCAGGAACCGCATGGTCATCTCCCACTGCCACAGCTTCTCGCCTTCCTCCTTGCTGGGCGGGATCTCGTCTCTGTCCTCAGCGAGGATCTCCCCGTTCGGACCCCGGGTGTAGCTGAACATGGCGTGGGGGTCCGGGTGGTTCAATGCCTCGAATTTCGCTTCGGAGCGGCACAGGTCCGCCTGGAGGACACCGGAAAATCCTTTGGCGCGTCCTTCGGCTTCGCGTTCTGCTGGAGTCTGGAAACGGCGGATCAAACGGTCATAGAGCAAGGGGTCTGTGCGGTTGCTGGGGGTGTTAGCTTGACAATTACTATGTAGGTTGTTCGTGACGACTGAGGCAGGCAGTGTGCCAGTCAAGTCATCAAAGTAAAACAGAGATGAGCGACAAGCGGACCGGCTAGCTCGAGATCAGCAGAAAAGTACTCTGGGTGCATGTCCAGGTAACGCTTGCGACGGTTCTTAATCTGGGTGGCCGGGGAGGTGGGCATGGCGGAGGAGGCAGGATTTGCCTCCATCTTGGGCGTCGTTGGAGTGATACCCATTGGGAAAAGAGGCATTATCAATTAGTTCAGACCGGATTAATGCTAGAACATATGTCTTAGCGACAATAAGCAAGATTCGAAGAGGTCGAACGACAATAAACGACAATAAAGTTGAAGGGGGAGGGGGGGAAGCGGAGATGAGAGGGGGGAAAAGCGGAAGAGAGCGGCGGGTGGCAGATTAATTCCTGCCGTCATCGAAGCTCCGCGGAACACACCAAGAACATCATCTTCCTCAGTGCTTGCTCAATCCATTAGTTAAGTCCGACAACGGAGTATGGCTACTCGAGTTTCGAACTGAGAAAGAAGGTAAGACTAGTCTCCCTCTTTCCGTTTCACATCCAGCTACTTGTCCTGTCATTGCTTGTCTGCGGGAGGGTGGACCACAGTCTGCCCCTGCTCCCCCCCCCCCCCAAAAGAAAAAAAGTGACAGCTCAAAATGGTATCCATTGAACTAACAAGTACCTTCAGGAAAGCTCCCTGGCCAAAAGAATCACTCTGGTCAGCTTGAAGTTCACTCGAAACGTGTGGTGCTGGCAGATTCCGTCATTTCAGAAACGGACACCATGTCTTCTCTTGGTGCCCTGTGGCAAAAACCCACCACCAGACAGCTGGTGACCGGCGCAGCACTGCTAGTGCTCACCGCGTTCTACTCGCCTTTGACGGTTCTGACTTTGGCCCCTGTCTATGGTACTCACGGTACCCACGTCTTCCATGCCTATGGAGTTGCCATTGTGGCCGCTGTGGGATGGTTCATGAAGGATCACATCCAGCGACTCTCCGGCCGGAAGGCGGTCTACTTCATCCCAGTCGTGGCCTTCTGGATTCCCACCATTCAGACCTTCCTATTCTCGTCGAGCTCTGTTCTGGGAAATCCTGTCGGCCCCATTTTCACCGAGATAGCTGCCTACTATCCATTGGTCATCCTCTCTGTCGCCTGTGCAGGCAAGCTGGTGCAGGCAGGTCTGGATCTAGGTCGCCACGGTGAAGCCGTTGCCGAGCACGTTCCGCTCCTCTCCACCTATGTCATCTACAAGGTTGGAGAGAAGATCGCCAAGGCATTTCTGGGTAAGTTCATCGGATCGACCATCTTCTTCAGCCGCGCCGGCTTGCAATTCTTGCTGCCCGCCTTGTACTCTGCCGTCATCCCCTCCAAATTCCTGCTCTTCGCAGTCCCCTCCTTGCTCCTCTCGGCCACCTCCAACGTGCATCTCAGCGACGGAGCCCTGAACTCGTACCTGAACGATGAGGGCTTCGCGCTGGTTGCCCGTCAGGATTCCAACACCGGCTACATCTCGGTGCTCGATAACCTGAACGATGGCTTCCGAGTCATGCGATGCGACCACAGCCTGCTGGGAGGTCAGTGGACCAGAATGCCGCGCGGCTACAGCCCTGCCACCTTGGATCCGATCTACGCTGTCTTCACCATGCTGGAATCCGTCCGCCTCGTGGAGACCGACCACGGCGAGCCCCGCGTGGACGCCGACAGCAAGGCACTCGTCATGTAAGCACCAGAACCCTGCAAGCTCCACACCCACAAGGCTAATCCGTACATACACAGCGGTCTCGGTGTCGGAACAACGCCTTCCGCGCTGATCGAGCACGGCATCGAGACCACCATCGTGGAAATCGACCCCGTCGTGCACCAGTTCGCATTGGAGTACTTCCACCTCCCCTCGAACCATATCGCCGTCATCGAGGACGCCACCACCTTCGTGGAGCGCTCCCCCCCAGCGCAGTATGATTATATCGTCCACGACGTCTTCACCGGCGGCGCCGAGCCCCTCGAGCTCTTCACTATCGAATTCATCGAGAAACTCGCCTCCCTCCTCAAGGACGACGGCGTCATTGCCCTTGTACAAACCCCCTTAAAAAAGCCGCCTCGCAAAGCTAACACCAACAGAACTACGCCGGCGACATCACCCTCTACCCCGCGGCCCTGACCATCCGCACCATCCGCGCCGTCTTCCCGACCTGCCGCATCTTCCGCGAGGCGGCCGAGAACGACGACCTCAACAACGACTTCACCAACATGGTCATCTTCTGCAAGAAGAGCGCCGCCACCCCGCTGCGCTTCCGCCAGCCCACCGCCAACGACTACCTAGGCAGCAAGTTCCGCGAGACCCACCTGCTCCCCCGCCACGAGGTCGACCCCGCCCGCTTCGATGTCATCCCGCCCAACGGCCGCCGCCTACTGACGGCCCGCGAGTCCCACCTCCTGCACAAGTACCAGGATCGCTCCGCCCTCGAGCACTGGCAGATCATGCGCACCGTGCTGCCGGATCTGGTGTGGGAGTATTGGTGATTTAGTCTCCCTGCAAGGTCCAGGGAGGTATTCCTAAAGCTTTGCCATTTTTGGAATAGGGATACACTCCCCCCACCCCTTCACCTTTTCTTGGACAATGTATTTATATTTAGAGGTGTTTTGTGTACTCACAGATACAGAATTTGGGCGTAGTTGTGAAATAGTATCTGGCATCTTGTGCTAATGATTCTCTGTAATTGTACACATAAGTTTTGCTGATGGTATTCAATATCTAACATTCACAACTTCCTTCCGAATCAGACAGTACCAAGATGAGGACTGGATTGACCCCCTCCATCTACAACCACAAACACTAAAGCATTCAGCACAACAATCTTCAATTGGTATCCATATCCACAACAGAGAAAACTGAAACTGAGACTCCAGAACTGCGCTAATGAATTTATGTCATTCAAATGTGACAATGGGGATCCCCGCCCCCCCTCCGGAAAAAACAAAACCAGGTCGACTACGTAGAGTCGAATCACATCGCCCCCAGGATCTCTCCTCCCTGATTTTCTCCATTCTTCAGGTTTCCGTTCCACGACGAAACCCCCAAAGAAATTACCTAAGACTAACTCTATGACTCCCCAATCAAGTCCAGTATCCCATCCCCAAAGCCAATCTGGTATCACGAAACAAAGCAGAGATCTCCCGGGATGCGATGCAAGAAGTTGCAAGTCCAGTGGGCCTCGCATAGCCCCCAGCAGGAAGCAAAAGGCCATTATCACACCCGGAAGACTAATCTCAATATGTACTGGGTGGGCAGGTGTAGGTAGAGGAAGGGGCGAGAAAGAAATATTATTACAGGTTCGAAAATTTCGTCATTGGGACAAAAAAGGTTCGTGCTGGTGCTGCTGCTGCTGCCACGCTTCTCTAGAATGGCTTCAGGCCGATGGACTTCCGCGGGGACTGCCGGTGGTGCCGGGTTTTTTGACGAGGCCAGCGAAGAAGTTGGCCAGCGCTTGGTTGTGCGCTTTCTCGTCGCCGGTGGCCGAGGGGGTTTCTTTCTTCTGGGATCGGCTGGCCTCTCGTTCCTGTAGATTGCGTAAGGATAAGCGGCCAAAGGGGCTTTGTTTTCTTTTTTGTAATTGGTTCTCACTAACCTTGAGCTTGCGGAGCATGTCATCCGCGTCGACTTGGATACCACCCATGTTGAACTGTACAGGACCAATATGCTCGTTGACCCGGCCGTTGTCGTCCAGCGGGGACATCTCCAGCTGCGGTACCTGCTTCGTTGTGCGGTCCTTCTCATCTTCCAACTTGAGCTGCTCCAGAACCTCGAGTTGTTTTGTGAGAAAGGTTTGCATATCGGATGTGTCGACCTCAATCTTGGTCCCGTTCGCTTGGCCTCCGGGGTGAGCCATCGACGTGTCCCGCTTGGGATCCTTGATCGTCTGTTCGAAGATAGCGACCGCGCTTGTGCCGTCGTCGGCCGCCTCATCATCCAGGTCGCCGGCACTGGCGCCGTTGGTGATTGGCTCCGGGGGGTCTTGGATCTCGATGGACCAGGCGGTTGAGACGCCATCCATGTCGAATCCTTCGCGGATGATCCTGATCTTGCCCCACGAATCCCAGTTCGACGGAACGAGGATCTTATCCCGGTCGATGACGTTGTGTTTAAATGATTGCCGTTTCAGTAATGAGTGGATGCCGAGGGATGAGTGTAATAAGCTTTGGAGGGAGTTGGCGAGGAATGGTGTGGTGTAGATAAGCGACGCGCCATCTGTGATTAATTAGAACCCGCAGGCCGAATTAAGGGATGGTAAATTGCATACGCTTCAAGAGCAATGTTCTCATGAATTGGAGAATGAAGTCGAACTCTTCTTCGTGCCAGCCGTGGTCTTTCTCCAGCTTCTCGATCTTGTCGGCCTGGTTGATTCAAACAAAAGCATCGTTAGTTGTTGACCTCCCCCTAAAGCATCGGACCAGCTTACCCCTTGACACACAACACACATGGGTATACCGAGCCCTTCATCCCATTCGCCAGGGCCGACAGGTATCGTTACGGGACCACCGGAGCTCGTCAGACCCTGCGCGCCGGCCGAGCTGGCGTCCATGCCCCGTTTCCGATCCCTCCATTCGGTCATGTTCTCCTCCATGACGATCTTCGTCTCATCGTCGAGTGATATGAGGACATGTCTCAGAAGGCGCACCCACTCGCGCAGTCGACGCACCCAGGTCCAAGGGTCCGACCAGTCCAGCAGGATCACAACCAAGGTTTCCGGCACCGAATGTGCAGTCAGAAGCGGCTTGAGGAGGGGCGCAAAGGAGAGAGACGGCTCAGAAAGTAAGTATGCGGAGACACGCGCCAGAATATCTTTTGTATGGAGCAGGTCCTTATTAGCATACGACTATGGCAAAAGAAGGAGAGGGCCCGCGGAGAACTGGCAATCCACCGGAATTGACTCAAATAAATACCTTCATGATCAGCGTCCAGCACATCTTGATAAGTATATCCTAAGGCGAACTGGTTGGCCACCGGTGGTACTCGCCCTTTTCGCCGGTCGTTTGACGACAAGCTGGGATCTGAAGCATCCGCGGATAGAGTGTCGAGGAACTCTCTTTGAGTCTCCGGTGTGCCACCTAGATTGTAGTTTCCGCATAATCAGCATTGACCGACAGATGGATTCTGGCGGAAACGCGGCCAGCGGTGCGGGCGCAGTACTGGAGGGGGTTTTTGAGAGGGGGGTGCAAACCTAGGATTAACAGATTCTTCTCGGGAAGTCGCTTTCCATTTGCGACGCTATCTAGCATAGAAGACCAGATATTTTTCTTGGTGCCATCTTTGCTCGACGGCCGACTGTTGTTGCTGCCGGTCCCGAATCGGGACCCTGTATTCTGGCTCGACGCTAACATTGTCTATCCAATTTCGACCATGCTCAGCTGGCGCAGCTCATTCCAGGTCAGATCGAGGCAAGTATATTCTGGGGGAGGAGTCGGATAAGACGCGTTGATTGCGGAACTTCGTGCGGATAGGTGGGAGTGTTTATCGGAAACCACACTGGAGTGTCAGGGGAATCTGGCGTTGGCCGCGCAGATCTCGGATGGCGGGGGAGGACCACAAAACAGCCCAGACGTTGTGCTCGCTCGCTCGCTCGCTCAAAAAAGACAAGATCGGACCGAAAGTTTAAAGAGTGCGGTGTTTTTTGCCACGGGTCGCAAAAAAAAACAAAATAGGTGTCTTCGTGGTTTATCGTGTGTGTTGGTGTATGAGACTGAATCGAGCGGTGGTGGAACTGACTGCGGTTTGCCTATTCTTTTCTAGCTTGTAAACAACTTATTAAAGCCATAGGTTTGGGACCGTCTTCTGCGGGTGGGGACCTTCCCTTCCCGCGGTCAAGCCCGTGATTTCGAACTTCCGCTTGCTGCAACTCCAGGAAAGCAAGAAAGCAAGAAAGCAAGCCCAGCAGCCCTTCTCTATCCTCACTCGGCACCTCACCCTCTGCTTTCGCAATTATTCCTTCTACATGTATACTTTGATCTAGATCTCACCGCTTTTCTTACCTGCACTTGAAGCATGAACAACATCCGCCAAGTCCAAGCGCTGAACAAGCGCGAGCTTGAAAATGCCGTGTAAGTTGCCCCTTCTACCTATCCCCCCGGGGTTCCTTCCTCGTCATGGTCGCTGACCAGGTGCTCTCAGACCCCCAGAAGCCTCCTGGCACGCTGACTATCGCGACACCGCCTATATCTACATCGGAGGACTGCCTTTCGACCTGTCCGAGGGCGACATCCTCACGATCTTCTCGCAGTACGGCGAGCCGGTCCACATCAACCTCATCCGCGACAAGGACACCGGGAAGAGCCGGGGGTTTGCATTCCTCAAGTACGAGGATCAACGCAGCACAGATCTCGCGGTCGATAACCTGGGCGGTGCCACTGTGTTGGGGCGGGTTCTGCGGGTGGACCACACGCGCTACAAGCGACGGGATGACGAGGAGGAGACGGACAACGTCGCGAGACTCATGGGGGAGGATACGGCCGGCGGGAAGGCCGTCGACGATCGAGATACCGATGACGAGCGGACGACAAGACGGAAGCGACGCATCAGCGAACCACGAGAAGAGGAGGCCCGCAGACGCCCGAAGCTCAAGGAGGAACTCGAGTTAGAGGAGCTGATCAGGACCCATGACGAGGAGGATCCGATGAAGGAGTTCCTCATTGAGGAGAAGAAGGAAGAGGTGGCGCGTGCGCTGGAGAGGACACGAGCGAGTGAGAAGAAGTCTTCGCGCAGGCGAGACAGCCGCGAGAGATCGAGCCGTCACCACCGTTCTCACCGTCGCCGATATGATGACGACCGTTCCCGCTCGCGAGAAAGGAGGCCTCGGGATCGCCGATCGCCCGCGAGGGAATCTCGATCGCACAGAGACCGCCGCTCGACGTCCAGGAGAAGAGACAGATCCTACAGAGACAGGACGCCGGTCGCGTCCAGATCACCCGAGCCGAGGCGCAATAGGGACCGAGAAAACCGCTATCGTTAGATGTCTAAAGCAAGGCTGTCTAATTATAAATTATGCTACTCAAAAAGGTCAAGCCTCTATCCAAAGCAATCAAGACGCCACCAAGCAAGTGCCAGGAGCAAGTTCCAGGGGCACTGCGCTCGCCCCTCGATAGCCAAGTTCTGTGACTCGACATGAGCTCCATCAGCAAAATCAGTTGATACGCCATACGATATCCAATCCGCAAACGCATTGTTGGGTCGATCCTTGAGGATTTTCTGCAGTGTGGGTGTTGCCTGCAACGGAGATGGTGACTGTATGGCCACACCACAAAAAGACTAGACCACGAATGTCGTTGATGGTGGAGCTCTCAGCAAACCGGACGGACACATTCTCCTTAGCCCCCTCCTAGGTACCTCTTCCAGCCCGTTCTGTTACAATAGAGTCTGCCGTCATCGCCTTCGTGAAGGACAAATTTCTCCCATCGCCCATCCCTACCCGAGCCAATCACGAGGATGGTCCTATCATCGAGCCAGCCGATGTTCCCTTTGGACGGTTTCCCAAGTGAGTTCCCCAGGGGTGGAGGGTTATAGGCTGACTCGGATGACTGTTCGTTGCCTATCTCAAAATGTGCAGTGGCAGATGAATATATGTCAGAGAAGAACCCAGGGAGCATAGGAACCTTTGACAAGAATCCCCACTTTGATTCAGTTTTGGGCACTGGAAAGACATGCAGGGTCGACTTATCGGACGTCACGGCGAACAGCGTATTGGAAGGTGATATAGCAATCGAAAATACATCCGCTTCATCAAGACCCCGGCGTACCTCGGTTATCCTCGTGCAGTTACTAGTAGAATAAATCCGGACCATAGTGCCCTAAGAAAGACGTAAGTTACCATCAAATCATAGCCTGCTGTACATGGGCAAAGGCTCGGGTGCTCTTACCCTCTTACTCGCCGTGGCCAGAAGCGCGCCATCCGAGCTCAAAGTCATGGCCCGCAGCGGGTGCGCGTGTGCTGGGATGATGCTCACGTTCCCGGTCTCAAGCTCGACCAGCTGGACTTGCCCGAGAGATCGGCCGGGAAAAGCAAGTAGCTTCTCCCCCAGGCAAACCAGACCCAGAGGGTTGTCCACTGTTTCAAAGACCGAGAGCTTCCGCGGAGGGATCGAGAAGGCAAAGACATGGACACTGTTCAGCAGCGCGACGACTATGTGCGACTTGGACAGGCGGACGCCCAAGACCGAGGTGCGGAATTCGAGGGTGATGGCGGCTTTCTGCTTCGCGTCGTCCCAGATCACCAGCTAGACACGAAACCATCGTCGTCAGTACATAGATTCGCTGCAACACAAACCAAGCACGTCGAGGAAGGAGAGAGGAAGGGGGAAGATTCCGTGGCACACCTTATTCTGAGGGAACTTCGGTTGTCTTCCTCCGCCGGTGATCGCGAGGTATTTCGACTGGCCGAGCATGGTCACCAGACCGATTCCGGCGTTGAAATCTGTAGGGATGTTCAAAAGAGCTCGTTAGCAACCCGGACAAGAGATTCAGATAGAGAACAAAAAAAAGAAAAGAAGTTTTGACAAGTACCTCTTGAAACTGTAAGCTCACATGGATCGGTTTTGAAGACTGTTTTGTTCGGTGGTTAGCTTGGCTGTTGTTCCCGATAAGAAAGCCCTCGAGGGAAGAGCAAGCACATGTGAGTGACCACTGACCACAAAAGCCGGTGTCCAAGCCTACGGCAAAACATGTGTTGTCGTTGTTAAATGAGGCCGACAGTGAGTACGGCCCCACCGACTCATCGATGACTTGGCGAGTGTTCATCCTGGCAACCGAGGAAGGAGGCCATCAGCGCTAGGCAGGATGATGGGATAGAGTCAACTAGGTATAATTGCTGGAATTCCGGGGAAGGCCAGAAGGAGATGATCGGCCGCCGGACGGGGGCGCTGACCTCATCGTAGCCGCCTAGCTAATGTCGTTGCCGCCTTGTAAATATGGCCAGGGGGAAGGTGTCACAGTGCTTGGCCATTGTTGCTTTTAATGCATGTTAATTAGTACCGTGGCGCGTGAACGGAGTAATTGATGTTTAGAAGATATGTTTTGCAGTTTGGTGTGAAGGGATTATCTTGCATCAAAGAATGAACGACACAAACGATCATTGGAGACTTGATGCCTGAGGCATCACGGACGCCCTCAGGCATGAATGATGTAATAGGCGAATGGTAGCTAACTAGTTGACTTACGTGGTAGAGAATATCTGTCTGAGCATGACTATCCGTTTCCCTGCTTGAGAGAATGTCCTAGTGTCGACTATAGTCAACGACAATTCATCATGTGTTTGTGGAGGCTAGCATGCTTCTTTCAGTCCAGTCCCGAAGAGAATGTATTTCATTCAACCCGGGTGTTTGTTGCGCAAAGTTGTTCATGTACAAATAAGAAAGTTCTATCATAAGTCATGGCCGAGTCCTCTAGTATCCTGATCCCGAGGCTTTGGAGCCGTCGATCTCTTTTTGACCGGTAGCAATGTCCAGCTCGTTCTGCATTGCGTCACCCAATAGTCCAACGTCGGTAACAACAGATACCATATCAAATCCTTGCTCTATACGAGCCCGAGCGTCGACACCGCCGGTACCTATTCCTGTCAGCTATCTCGAAACTTATAAGACCCAGAGGCGAGGGGTGGAACGTACAGAAGATCGCCGCCCTCTTTCCGGCAGCCTTGGTAGCAGCCAAGATGCGTTTGATAGCAGCCTCATGCTCCTCGCCGCCTCTAGTGACGTTCAATTGCTTGGCAAGATCAAAAGGACCTGCGATACACAAGTCAGCACTTGAGAATCTACACGAGTTCTGTTCTTGCCATACCGATCAGAATGCCGTCCAGACCGTCAACGCGAGCGATCTCCTCCACATTCTCCACACCGGACTTGGACTCGATCTGCACCATAACTATGATTCCATCCTGCGAGACCGCTTCGTAGTCATCGCCAGGCAGTACGCTCGGGAATGAGTGAGTGGCGAACAGCGGTCCGAAGCCACGGGTTCCCAGGGGTGGGTACTTTGAGAACTTGACAATGTTGGCTGCGTCGGCCTAGAAACAAAGAAGGTTTAGTACGGCTGTTCGCCACAGACTCGGAACATCACGAGGGATCATGCATTGCACGTACTGCAGTGTGGCACATGGGCGTGAGGATGCCGTGAGCACCGGCGTCAAGGGCTCGTTTGATCATCCATTCCTCACCCCAGGGGACTCTGATGATGGGGACAGCGCCTTCCGAAGCAACAGCATTGGTGAGCTAAATCAGCCGTCGTTAATGCGCTGGACCCAAGTCGATGATGAAGGTGCCATACGTCATAGTAATCTCTATCCGTGATCAATCCATGCTCTGCGTCAATGAGAACCCAGCTGAATCTGGACTTTTCTGTGAAGGGCCGATGAAGAATGGTTTTGGCGAGGGGAGCGCTGGGGAATCTAAGAACGATAAAAGAGCAGCATTAGTCATTGAGCGCATTTCAGGAGTACGTGCGATTTGGACGTTGCGAAGTACCACCACAGAGGGTAGGCTCGAGGAGATGAGGTGAGGGGCAATGAGGGGTAGCAACATACGTGAGCCAGAAGCCGTGTGCCACTACGGACTGGTCGCGGAGATTCCGGGGGTCGGCAACTTTGGAGGCCATTACTGTTGCTGTATGTTGTGAAGCTTGGGTGATTTAAGCTGTGGTATGAGATTATCCTGGTAATTCTTCTGAGGGGACTCGCTCGGGATGAGGTCAATGGAGACAATTTAAACAAATATACAGCTCGGTGCATGTCCGACCCGAAGAGGTGTTATCCGCGGTTTAATCCGGGGCCACCCCCACGTTTCCTGGATTAGTTTCCGTCTCCCCCGGCCTAAAGATGTCCGAAGACGGGGGACGTTCCTCATAGCCTATTAGTCAACTGGCAGTCAACATCTCAAAGCTGGCCTCCGGTGAGCCATGTGGTGGTCTACTCAAGTAAAGAGATACGAGTATCTTGTATATGACAATGCGCCTGGTCACTTCTATGCTTGGGAATAGTCGAGGATGACTTAATCACTCACTTAACTATGAGAAATCTTTGCCTTGACATCATTGATGGCAGAATAAAACCTCGTGTTGCAGGCAGTCTCTTCGATGCGGGACTGAAATACCGGACGAAACCAATTCTGCATATGGAATTATCTTCTGGTTCCACCCTCTGCAGCTTTCTGCTTTCTGTAAGTCTTAGTCTGCCACACTAGCAGAAATTAATTGAGCCGTGGACGGTGGTGGTATGGAGAGCGATTCGGCCATTCAAGGCAAATGACACGGGCCGAGCCGGACACACACACTTCGCACCGACTCCCACTTTGATGCACACACACATGCACTCACCACAAACTCTCTCTCTCGTGATGGTTCCACTAGAAATCTATGATTTCTAAATGCTACTTTGGCGTCATGACCTACAGTCTGAGCGTCTACACAAGTGACCTCGCTTCTATGATAAATTGACTGGGAGTGAGGGATGGCCTTGCCGAACTGGCTGCAGTTGCCGTGACCCGATAGCCTCGCCCATTACATACATCAAATGTGGCGGTTCTCTTCAGCTAGCCGATGGTGCACACTGCGTTAGCTACGGTAGGACTGTACCACTACTCAGCGTTCAGTATGTCTCAATACTTTAGACTCATCCCATAGCTTCGGAGCATCCGAGCGAACTCACGCACGTCTCTTCCGATCTGTGTCGATCGCCGCGCTCGGCAAAGAAAAATAAAACAAAGGACGAATCAGAGACACCCACTGCAGCTACGCCGCGTAGATCCATCTCTCAGCTCGCTAACTAATACGATGGGGCGACTACATGTTCATGCAGGATCTGCTCCACAACCCTCCAAGATGTCATTTAAAAGGCACTCCTAGAGATCTGCCTCCGAGGGACATCTCGTCAAATTTCGTTTCTCCAGAACAGCCTGCCTCGAGAACCATGGGGGATCCCGCGCCTGAGTCCATCAGCATCGACAAGATCCATCAAATTGGGACGGAACCCTTTCTGCAAGTTGAAGCCACCACTGCGAAGAACCGCTCTGTTCGCATCGAGGGTCCGCCAAAGCGGTTGATCATCTGCTGTGATGGATCATGGCAGTCATCCAACCATGGGCAGATGAACGTCCCGTCTAATGTCGCAAGGCTCAGTCGTGCCATCGCTCGCTGCGGACTTGCTGATGATAAGGGAGATGCCGTCCACCAGATTGTCTACTATAACGCAGGCGTAGGCACTGGCACGAGCAAGAAGGACGACCAGAACTGGTTGGCCAACACGATGGCTGGGATCCAGAAGACTTGGGAGGGCGCGTTCGGTCGCGGACTGGAGGAAAATGTCTGCGAAGGATACAACTTCTTGGTAAGTAGGAAAACTAGTATCGCAAGGGCCTAAGCTATCCTAACTTCATAATAGGTCAACAATTGGACCCCGGGAGATGAGATCTACATCTTCGGTTTTTCCCGGGGTGCGTACACAGCCCGAGCCTTGGCAGGCCTGGTTTGCAATATGGGTATCTGCATGCCGGACATGATGGATGACTGGTGGGCTATGTACGATGATTACAAGAAAAGGTTGAATAGGCAGAACAGCTTTGCCCTTGTCTGCAGCAACAAGCTCTCTGGCACGTGGATAGACACGTGGAGTGGGGGCTCGAAAGGTGCTACCGCGGGATTGAAGTATGAGGATCGGTTTTACAAGAATGTCCCGATTGAGGTGGTTGGTGTTTTCGATACTGTCGGCGCTCTAGGCTTGCCCAACAATACTTGGTATGATTTTACAAACTATAACAGTAATGAGCACGGCTTTCATGACACAGACGTGCACCCACAGATTAAGCACGCCTTTCACGCTCTGGCGCTGGATGATCATCGAGCACCGTTCAGTCCCACACTTTGGCACCTTCCGACCCGCAACACCACGACCAAACTGATTCAGTGCTGGTTCCCGGGATGTCACATTCACATCGGAGGAGGTAGCGAGGAGACGGCGCAGCATATGGGAGATCTGGAATCGATGGCGAGCTTGTCACTGGCGTGGATGATTGACCGGGTTCGAGAGCACACGAACCTTCAATTCGAGTCTTACGAGTTAACGCGTCTCTATCAAACATACATCAACACCGTCCTCGACCTATCGCAGCGCTCTTTCAAGAGATGGGACAAGGCACACGGCTACAGCTATGCTAAGGGTGACGGCAAGAACTACGACGACGAAGCTGACCCCGACAATCGTACTGGCTATGGTGGCTGGGGTATGGGATTCCGACCCGACAGTATGACCTTCGGTATGAGCTTCGCAGGCACCATCAATCGCACCCCTGGCCAGTACAAACCGCTCAAGAAGAATGACAAGAACGAGTTGGTTGCTCTGAATCCGAATCTCTATTCTACCGAAGAATATATTCATCCCGTGGTTGCATATGCCTTGGGCAAACCGTACCGGGAGGCCAACCAAGGACCGGTGCTACGCTATCAGCCGGAAGCACTAAAGAATTTTACCCGCGTGAAAGACCCCAAAGACCCAACCACCGGTAAAATCCAAGAAGGGATCTTCTGGAGAGGAGTCTTCCCACCTAAAGAGAAAGGTTACCTGAAGACCAGATGGGACTCCATATGGGGCGGATCTCAGCCGCCTGCTGAACCGGAAGTCTTGCTCATCCCCGAGATGCCGCTGTGGGAAGATACATATAGTAATCTGCTGAACGAAAGAGACTACATGCGGGCCGACTGGCTGGCGTTCTTGGCTCCAAGATTGTGGTTCCCCGAGCCGACTATAGATCACATCGGCAAATACCTGAAGGAGCACAAGGAAACCAAGACTTTGGTAGAAAGTTTGACAGAGCGCGAGACGGATCTACTCTATCACCTAGCAGTCAAGGCCCAGTCGCAGCTCACTAGTGTCTGGCAGATGAGATCCGTAGCCTTTAAGCTGAGGCAGAAGATACCGTCGAAGGGAAATGAGGAGAATGTAAAGTTGATGCTCGACACGGGTGCTCGCACCAGGAAGTTCTTGGCCCTGCTGGACCGAGGCGAGTTATATCCTGAAGAGGAGGCATGAGAGGCTGAAAATGTTGAGTTCGTCGGTAGTTGGTATGCAGGCTGAAATACAATGTCTTCCCGTCTGCAATTTTATGCTTCGCAGTTCACCATAGATCGGAAACTAGGTAGGCAGATTTAGAGCCGGTCCTATCTCAAACACATTGGCTGTGTAGCGTGCCTTGTTGGTCCAATAAAGTGTGTAGAGAGTCAACGTCAACTAGCAAAAGGCTTTATGCCTCAGGCAGCGAAAGAGCCCAAGGCCCCCCCCCCAAAGGTCCAATTCCCAAGGCATACGGCGGCCCACAGCGACCCACGGCGGCGATCGGAACTTTTGGTGGCCATAAACCCCTGAACTAAACCCAGCAATCAGTTGATAGTCCGTCTGCAAAACAAAGACTGCCCACATTGGGCATCTGGATGCCACTTGAGGACTGACAAAACAGACCTGTCTCACGGTTCTGTCTGCTTGCAGCCAGGTACCCTGTCACAGTTGCTGAATCATTGATTTCCAGTGGGTGCGAAATAGGAGTTGCATAGCCTGACAATAATTGATTATTGAAGATCCTTGAAGCCCCCGGATCGGACAGGTCAATTATATAAGTATCATTTCGAGTACCGCAGACAGATGTGTAAATGAGAGAGTGCCAGTACTTAGTAAACCTAGCAAACTAGCAAATCTGACCTCGAAGTGTACCTGGGGTGATCCATGGGTGAACATGGATGGGGGCAGTGGAAAGAGCCACCGTGACTGCACTGCACTGCACTGAACTTGAGCCCGGGTCGTACCAGAATACCAGAATTACTGTGGACCACTCTCAGACAGTCTGGAGAAGAAGGCCTGGGATAGTGATGATTGGTCTGCCCGCCACAGAATGGGGAAAAGGGGAGTCCTGCGGGAGTGTAACTTTGGTATGTGTATGGTCATGGAAGAGTATCTGTGCCTAAGGTGTCCGCCTATTGTGGCCTTACAACCCCCTTAAACCCACTAGTCAACGGCCAGTTTGACGGGGGGCGGCGGCAGACTAACTAAGAGTAAGTACAACGGGAAGACCATCTCCTCAGGGGAGAGTGAGAAGAGCAACAACCATCCCATCCCATCCCATTCCCATTCCATCCATCTCCACTGCATTCATTCTCCCTCTATCTTCCTTCCCTTCATCCTCCTCCTCCTCCTCCTCCTCCTCTTCCCACGACCTTCCTTTACTTCAGCTTCCTCCTCTTTTCAACCTTTCACTCGCTTGCTTAATCTCTTCCTCTAATTCTACTCTCCACCCTCATCTTCCTTTCTTTCTTTGTTTCTCTCTTCCCCCCACCCACCCACCTCCCTTCTTTAGCCCACCATGTCTTCCTCATTCAGCGCGGTAAGTTGTTATCCTTCCCCTTTCTATGCCGGCCGCTCGTATTGCCTCACCCCCGCCATTACCACCACCACCACCACGCTCTCCAATGGCTTGGGGGCACAGGTATTTTCGATTGTGTCAACTGCTTCAACTCTGCTCTGAGTCTCAACTGTGGTTAATTCGCCTCTAACTTCAAGCCCAAGCTCCGTCGCAAGAAAAATGTCAAGAAGGGTATCCAGTTCTGTCTGATGGTCTGTGGTGCCAGCGGAACCGGTACGTTCGCAACCTGCGCAGTCACGCTCTCCAGTCCCAGAAATTGACCAGCCGTTTCGATATCCCTAGGACGCACTACCTTCGTCAACACTCTCTGCGGAAAGAAGGTCCTGGAAGGAAAGGACGCCGACGACGCTGCCAACGCTCACATTGAGGAGGGTGTCCGCATCAAGCCTGTCACAGTCGGTGAGTAGGCCACCACACTATGTGTTTCAACGCTGGAGCTAACGCATAGCTCGACAGAACTCGAATTGGACGACGAAGGCACCCGCATCTCCCTCACCATTGTCGATACCCCCGGTTTCGGCGATCAGATTGACAACGAAGCAAGGCAGGTGGCCCTGGCTGCAAACAATACCACTCTCAGTGCACGACTGACCGTTTCGCAGCTTCGGGGAAATCGTTGGATACCTCGAGCGCCAATACGATGATATTCTTGCCGAGGAGTCTCGGATCAAGCGTAACCCCCGCTTCAGGGACAACCGTGTCCATGTCCTCCTTTACTTCATCACACCCACCGGTCACGGTCTCCGTGAGCTCGACATCGAGTTGATGAAGCGCCTGTCGCCCCGTGTCAACGTCATCCCCGTCATCGGCAAGGCCGACTCCCTCACTCCCGCCGAATTGGCCGAATCGAAGAAGCTGATCATGGAGGATATCGAGCACTACCGCATCCCTGTTTACAACTTCCCCTACGACATCGAGGAAGACGACGAAGATACCGTGGAGGAGAATGCCGAGCTGCGGGGTCTCATGCCATTCGCTATTGTTGGTTCCGACGAGTTGATTGAGATCGATGGCAAGAAGGTGCGTGCCAGGCAATATCCCTGGGGTGTTGTAGAGGTCGAAAACCCTCGTCACTCCGACTTCCTGGCCATTCGCAGCGCCCTTCTCCACAGCCATTTGGCCGATCTGAAGGAGATCACCCACGATTTCCTCTACGAGAACTACCGTACCGAGAAGCTCAGCAAGAGCGTGGACGGTGCTACTCCGTACGTATTCTCAGCCTTGACATCATTCGTGCTATCCGTTCGCCGACTAATAGCTTCGCAACAGTACACAAGACTCGTCCATGAACCCCGAGGATCTGGCCTCCCAGTCCGTCAGGTTGAAGGAGGAGCAGCTCCGCCGTGAGGAGGAGAAGCTCCGTGAGATCGAGCTGAAGGTGCAGCGTGAGATTGCTGAGAAGCGCCAGGAACTGTTGGCTCGCGAAAGCCAGCTGAGGGAAATCGAGGCCCGCATGGCACGGGAGGCCAGCCAGAGCCAGGTCGATGTCACCAACGGAGATGCCTAAACGATTACCGTCGAAATCCCTGGGACTCATGGAAAACGGTTTCCACATGATTGACATCTGACACCGTATGTGCCTTTGTAATGAGAACCGTGGCGCGGCAGTCGTAACTGTCTACGGGGTTAAGATTAGTCGGCCGTTTATTCACGTTAATAGCTTTTTCTCTTCTTTTTTTTTCTCTTTTGCTTTCCTGATTTTTCTTTTGAACTGCAAGGGAAAGGGGAGGGCAAATGCAACGTTCCGTTTTAGTACGACGATGACTGGGAACAACAAATCCTGTCTGGCTTTTTTCCCCTCTCTTTTACCTTTCCCACCGCCACCAACCACCCCTCTGGGAATCATCCCAGACAGACAAGAACAGAGAAGAAGGGCAAAGGAACGGACATATTTTCGGCTGCAATCTTCCAACCTTCCAACTTCACATCGTCTTTCGAAAGCCATCAATCATCTAACCCCGTTGTGCTGCAAGATGTCTGGAGTCAGAAGAATAGCATCATTTTTAATCACTCACAGTTATCACCGAGGAAAGCATCTGCATAAAGTTTCAAATTCCTAACATTGCTTGTGTTGTCCCTGGATTTTCTCGTTCCTTTTGATCATTACTCTTTTCTTTTTCTCCTTTCTACTCCCCCTTCCCTCACATGAAACCCTGTCCCAGTGTCAGCAGCGCGCAGCAAGATTCCCTCTTTTGTCCGGTAATTTCTCTTGTTCTATTTCCCCTTTTTCTTAGCTTATTATATTTTGTCGTTATATCTGAGTTATTTGTATGTGAGTGAGTGTGTGTGTGCAACAAACAAAAACAACTATCCAAACAACCAACCAACCAACCGAAGAAACAAACCAGACTCGTGGGTTCTTTTCCTAATCTATGCGTGCCCTTACTCTTCCATGTCCTCTCCATTCCAATGCATTATGTCCAGGGCTTGGTAAGGTACGAATTGAGTGCCGTAGATCTTCACCCCAGGTTGTAGGCCATAGATCGTAGATGTACCTCTCGCCACCACCTACCATGCGACTTCTTCTGATTCAAAGCAAATTCCGTTCGATGGATTGGACAAGAGTTCAATATCACCTGCCAACACAACCCGGAGGGGCTCGTAGCGACGAGCACCGGATGTAGGGGAAAGTCACGGGACCGAAGGTACTGACTGACTGTACTCTACATAAATATGTTGCGGTTTGCTTTTTCCATCGCGACCACTGCCCATTCGTCCCAATTTTATGGATAGTGTGCCGCCATGGTAGATATGAACACTTCCACTGTTTATGAGCGTGGATTATTAATTGACCCTAGTGCATTGATGTAATACGGGAGAATGAAGTTGGGGAATACAATATATTTATAATGTTATTGAGTGGGTGGGTGGGTGGTGTACAGTAGTTACTAGATCAATGCTTACTTCGGCAAGCGGAGTGGAGGCGGAAGTGCTAACTCAGTCAGCGGGCCCGGGAGGTTTGAGCTTTCAACTATATACCTCTCTCACTGCGCGGCAGAAAGGCAGTGAGTGCAATTGTACTAGGTTCAAGGCTGGTGCTTAGAAGGCTATCTTCTGCTTTTTCTCGGAGAAGAAGCTTACGACTGGTTCAAGGTTCATGAAAGGAGCCTGACTCTATAGGCGAGCTTACGCGCGGTGAGGAAATCGGAAGCCGCGAGGAAGAGAGCTACGTGACGACTCCCCCGGATCACAGCGAGTAGGACCACATAAGGACGAACAAGAAGCATGAAGTTCTTGACTAAGATGGATAAGATAGATGAGATGATAGAAAGAGAAGAGAAGAAAAAAAATGGTGCGAGAAGAATGAGAAAAAAATTGGGGATAAAAGGAACAGGTGGTATTTGCGCTTCATTGTACACAAGTTGGGGAGAGAATTTGCGGGGTCGGATGGGGGTACGCCAAATCGACCATGGGGTTGGGTACAAAGACAGGGTAGATGGAGATGAATTGACATGGAGAGGTATTAGAGGAAGGAAAGGAGAAAAAACAAAATTGAGAAAGAATCTTTGCCACTAGACCTCCTGAGAGTCAAGGGCAGCAAGAGATTCTGAAGGGGGGAGGGGAAATGTGTTCAAGGTTAGTAACGCAGATGGATGAATGTATGCCCTCGCCGTTTTTGAGCCGACCGGGATAGTAAAAACAAAGGCCTTTCTAAGCGCAGCAAAAGAAGTGACACTTGGGACGAATATAGAACATGACACTGTCTCTCCTCGCATCTTCTTCTTCACTTCCACCCGTTGAGGTGGTTTTTACTGATTGATGACTCAGTGTTGTGGCTTGTTCCAGAAATCCAAGCTGGCGACCACATCCTCTCCTGATTCATCTTCATAGGCATAAAGAATCTGTGACAAGGTAAGCAACTGCTCGAATCAAGTGACTGCCGGAGGCTCGACTTACTTCTCGGGTCGACGAATGCAACATGCGAATGTTCTTTCCAGTCATAATATGCACCAGCTCGCTCGTTTCAATGTGACGGATTTCGATGAAATTGGGTTCGAAAGCGAGAATATAAGGCAAAGAAAGTGCAAATGCGTTCGGATTGCCCTCCCAGGAGATTCTCCAGTCGGAACGGGCACGCCATCCGTTGCGGTTGACGAAGAATGAGAAGTCGCTGTAGTTCAAGAGGAATTCGCCGTTCAAGCGTTCAATGTGGATCGGCTTCACATTCTCCTTGCGTGCAACGAAGTCAAGAGATGTATCCGCCTGATCGAGCAGAGACTGTGTTTCGGTGGTTTCGAGACTGACAACCTCAAAGCCTCGGGCACAGCCCACACAGAGTGTTGAGCGAAGGAAATGGATCGAGGAAGACTCCGCAGGGATGTAGAATTCCTGTGAAACGCAAGGTTAGCTGCCAAGTCCAGGATGACAAGAAAATCTGAAGCAAGGGCACGAACCTTGAAGAGCTTCAATGTGTCCTGTCCACTCTGGAACATCTTGCTGACAGCCGACTTCTTCTTACCCTTCGCCAGATTATCCATAGGCTCATAAACCTTGATGGTGGTCGACAAAGCGGAGGTTTTGACGGAGCACACCAGATGACGTCCGAGTCCAATACCGGCCTTGAAGAAGTTCGCGTGACCTTGAATCTTCTTAGGTCGCTTCGCAATAGTGTTCTGGCCTTCATGAATCTCGAGCGCATCCATGGGGTAAGAGGATAGTGTCTTGTTCGACAGAACCAAAAGCAGTTGATACTCCTCCAATGTATCTATCTGAGTGACCTGACTGACATCAAGAACCCGCCGAGGTTTTGCTGACTTGTCCTTCGGCCAACGTTCGGAGAGATAGATACCGCTGTCCGTACCGTAGACCAATTTTCGACCTCCGTCTGCATCAAAGCGAAGCGCGGTTAGCATCTAGAGAATGGGAATTTTGGCTGAGACAAGATAGAACATACCAATTGGAACAAGGCAGTTAACACGATTGACAGATGTGAAGAAGTTCTCACAGAGAACTGTCTTATTGTAGAAGTTGCTGTTGCGCTCCCTGAGCTTCCGCTGCTGCTCTTCTACCAATTCGATGAATTTCCGGCGCTGAGTGGTTGATGTAGCGTACAACGTCTGCTCATAACCGCCCTTGCCAAGATGCCTAAAAGTGATAGGAAGACCATCCTTAGTAGTGGGAGGATTTGCTGCAGCCTTGTTGGAGAGAAGACTGGACGACGGCCGTTTGGGAATTCCCACCTTGGGTATTACCTCGTCCATCTGGGCAATGACCAACAGCTCTAGCGGAATAGGTTTCCGATATACGCGGTACTCCTCACGTTTGTTGACAACCTTGATTCTGACCAAGAGAACTGCGTGATCGAAGAGATATGCGGTAACCTCGGAGCTGTCTGTTGGCGTTTTCTTGAAAGCCATCTTCGACAACATCTGCCGGTTCTCTTCCGTCAACTTCAAATCCACGTAATCGCCAGGACCAAACTTCAGCGCAGCATTGAGCTGCACCAGGTTGAAGTGGTTCTCAGCCCTACCGCTCTCTGCGTTGACACGAGACAGGAAATCCTTGATCAGAGCAATGGCTTTGGGGATATCTTGGCGGTCTGGGCTATCCTCGGCCGTATTTTTGAAGACCTGCTCCAGTAGGAGTGGATACCTGGCGAGACGCGTGGTCGGCTTGGTCAGATAACCATTCAATTCGAGCTTGCGCGATTCCTTGAGACGTTCCGTCTCCTCTACGAATCTCGCAAATGCCGGGTTCGACGCTTTCTCCTTTTCAAACTCATATTTGCCGTACAGCTGATTGGCACCATATTTGATGAACGGATCGAATCGTGGCACGTGCTGAAGAAAAATATCACCGACCGTCTTGACAACATGGCTTTCCTTCTGTCGAGCATTTAAGGCCTCGCATAATCCACCGTTGACCTTCAGGACCTCCAAACAATTGCCAAAGACCGTCCGGATGAATTTCTCACGCCGATGCTCGGGAATAGGCGAGGTAGTGGCATTGCCCGCGGCCCGCAAGGGCCTCATCCAGAAGTCTCGCAGATACTCCAAATCCTTGACAAAGTCACGCTCTGTGTACATGATCTCAAAGATGATCTCCTGGCGTTTCTTTTCGCGATCGTCGATACTGTCTGATACCTCCTTAGGAACCATATTAATCCAGAGTTTCTGATTGTCGTTGTCATCGTCATCACCGTGCAGACTGCCCTTCGAAGCAGACGATCGTAGCCCAGGCTGCGGCTTCAGATTCAGCCTAGCCTGCTGTTCGAGCCTTCTGGGGCAGGCGATGGAATAGCACAGGCTATCCCGCGTACACGTCGGCGAATAGCATTCACTGAGCAGTGTGAACACACCATTGACCTCCGAGCTTGGCGCCTCTTCTCCCATTGTCTCCTTGAATTGGTAAATTTCGCCCTGCGCATCTCGGAGGCGATGGTCGTACGTCACATCGTGGAAAAACTTCTGCGCATCCAGCGCGCGGCCCAAGAGCAGAGCCAGATTCCGATCATTGGTCTTGATGATGTGTGCAATTAGATCCACTGCGTGGGCACCGGTAAATGCGTTTTGATATGACAGTCCGTTCTTTTGTAGTTCTGAGAGTGTAATTCGCTCACGGAAAACATCGGCAACACGCGAGAGCAGAGCTGGATACACCAACGGAACCTTACTCCGACGCGAGTTGCTTTGCGCAAGACCGGGCTGATTGCTTGGCTTCCCAGCCACAGTACTCTGCATGCTCATCGTTCGATCCGGCACAACGGTTGATGCCATCGACATGGAGCGCGAGTTTGTGGATCCATCGCTGGGTGGGCGAGGCCTACCGTTAACATTCTGGGCGCTGGGTGGCTCAGGTGGGTAGCCATTGACCGGGGCCTGGCTAGGGGGTCCGGATGGTTGCCTCCTGGGTGGAATTACTCGCCCTGTGCTTGTTGTGTAGGCGTGGTCTCGATCCGTCGGGTACGTGGTCAACGACATGGCGCGCTCGTTCGGATTCCTTTCAGGGACGGGTCGCCCTTGAGCTGTCATCGGAGCCGCCGCAGTGTACTGCTGCTGACGAATTGCATTGGCAGAAGTGTGATTGAAGTTGCTCAAAGAGGGTTGATACATTGGGGGACCACCCATCTTCGCCATTGACCGTGACCGGTTTGAGTCCGAGTTCAGGGCGGGATGGGCCGGCATTGTCCTAGTGTAGCCCTTTGGGTCTGGGTATTGTGGTCCCGTGTTCGGTCGAGAATCCAACCTTTGGGGCTGCGGATAAGCGGAGCGTCCGGGGTAAGGCCGTGCGGGGTGCTGTGAAGACTGCTGGAAAGCTGGAGGTGCTGCGCTGCCGGAGTAGGCTTGGTAGTATCCGTTGGGAGCCCCCGATGAATATCCATTCTGCATCTGGCGTGCGGGCGGTGGCGGACCTCGATGCATCTGCGGATGTGGGACGTGTGATGACATCGTGTGAGCTCGATCCTGAGAGAACTGGGGAGTCTGGGATGTCATCGTCTGTGAGCGTCCCGGTGGCGGAGCACCGCCAAAGATCTCGGAGTATGCAGCATCACGTTGAAAGGCAGAGGGGTGTCCGTAAGGCCGGTAGTTCCGGCCTTGCTGGCCCCCTAAGTCAGCCATGGCGCCTTGTTGCTCCTCGCGCTCGTAATCGCGATGACTTGGGCTTTCGTATAGCGACACGGGTCAATCTGGTAGGTGCGACTCGAGGAGTTCAGGGGGGAGTAGAAGGCGGAGGAATTCGTCTCAGTACAGGTAGGGTATCGAGTCCGGTCGTAGCGAGCGTGCCGTTTGTCGCAATGAAAAAGATCGTTCCAAGTCGTGGAGATGGAGAAAAGGAGAAGAGGGCGGGTTTGGGAGGGGAAAAAGAAAAAAGAGGTCCTCCACGGGCGATAATTTATAAGCACGTAAGAAAGAGAAAAATAAGACAAGAATAAAATGGCAAAAAGGAAATAGAGAAGATATCTAAACAGAGAAAGAAGCGCCCCGGTGTATCATGCCTCAACGAGCTTGGTGGTTGGAATAGGTTGACAGCCTGGGGAAAGGCGTCGAGACCGCGTGGTGTGTTGATGGTAATCGAGGTGCGCTTGGAGGAGCCTTGAGCGCAACGGCAAACCAGGACCCCTGGTTCATAACCTCAGCATTCTCCCTCTAGCTGGTGGGTGGATCGACACACAGTGCTTTTTTTTTTTTTTTTTTTTTTTTTTTTTTTTTTTTTTTTTTTTTTTTTTTTTTTTTTTTTTTTTTTTTTTTTTTTTTTTTCAACCCAACCAACTCCCTCCCCCTCTCCCCCAACCTGACCTCCGTCAACGCCAACCCCCTCCCGCGCTCCGACATCTTCCCCCACGTCTTGCGCAAGATCGCCACGACCTTCTCCTCCTCATACCCGCCCTGGAACCCCTCCAACTGCTCCTCCAGAAACACCAGGCACGCCACATCCTCCAGCACCTGCGCCTCGGCATCCACGGTGCTCCCCTTCAGCCCTTCCTTGCGGATCAGCTGCCCGACGCGCTGCGCCTCGGCCTCGGCGATCCCGCTCGCCACGCACACCTGCACCGCCATCTCCGCTTGCCGGCGCGCCAGCCCCGTCCGCCACGCGTAGTACCCCGCTTTGCCGGCCGGGTAGGTCGCGCGCGGCACCTCCCAGCGTTTGAGGTGCTGGGCGCGGATGGCGAGTTGGAGGGCCGAGGACGGGTCGGGGGTGTGGCGGTACAGCCAGGCGGTCATGCGCTGGGCGTAGTGTAGTTCGTTGGGGGTGCCGGTCGTGGGGTCGGTGGTGGGGTCGGCGCTGTGGAGGGCGTCGATGGCTTGTAGGGCGCGGGCGAGGGGGTCCATTTTTTTTTCTCTCTTGGTTGCTTATTTCTTGTTGGGGGTTTGTTTTGGGGGTGGTGTTACAATTGACTGATGAGCGGTGGGTTGGTAATGTAAGTAAGGTAGTTTTGGTGGTGGTGGTGGTGGTGGTGGTGGTGGGGAGTTCTGAGGGAGGAACGGGGAAGTAGAAGCAGATGCCCGCGGCAGGTGCCCTGAGCCTATCTAAGTATTTCTGATAATCAAATGCCGGGGACGGGATTGGGCCGATCTCGGGTCTGTGGGTTTTGCGACTTTATCTTTATCTGCTATCGATAACACACACGGGCTTTGTCCTTATCGATAACCGTGGATTATTTGTACAGTACTCCGTACTTTCTGAGGCGAGGGGTTCACTTAAACTGTTACATACAGCTTGTGTGGAATTATACTTGTTTGTACTCCTCTAGTGACAGTCACTTCAAGCTTACTGCCACTTACTCCCAGACGCTAAAAACTCCTGTCCCCGCGCCAATGACCGCGATGGCTCCGCGCCCAACCACTCCGGCTCCAGGCGATCGAGATTGTCCTCGATCTCCCACCCCCGGCCCCCCTCGACGTAGATCGACTTCCCATTCATGGTCGGGTCCGCTAGCAAGCCCGCTACGATGGTCGCCACGCTCAACGGAGAGTTCACCGGTAGCTGCGCCTGCTTCCAGCCTTCCTGGAGGTTCTTCACCATCTCTGTATCCGTCATCCACGGACAAACGGCATTGACGCGCAGCTGATGCGCCGGGGCGGGGAGATACGGCCGCAGCGAGCGCATCAGCCCCAAGACTCCGTGCTTGGTCGCTTGGTAGAGGAACATCCCCGGGGTCTCCTTGAAGCCCGCGACGGAGGAGATGAGCGTGAGGGAGCGGTCGGTGTGCGACGGTCGGTTCTGGCGTAGATACACGGCGGCGATGCGAGCCACATAGAGGGCCCCGAGAAGGTTGACGTTGAGGACGGTTGTGGAAGGTGTCTGTGCGTTGTTTGTTCTGTGTCAGCGCAGGCTGATCTGAGGAGATGGCAGTCTGCGTCTTTTCTCACCTCTCGCACGGTCTCCAGCGTCAGGTCAGGATCGAACCAGTTTCCGATCTCGAGGACTCCCGCCCCGGCGACGACGTGGTCGATCCGGCCGTAGGTCTTGTAGGCGGTGTCGAATAGATCGAGGATGGACTGGTAGTCGGTCACGTCGGTCTCCTGGAATATCGCTCTCGGGGGAGCGGACGACGACGATGCGGCGCAAACGCGCTCGACGAGGTTCGCACCAGCTGCGACAGCGACGTCACCAACGCAGACGTAGGCACCGTGCTCGCAGCTGTATTCGACCAGACTCGCGCCGATGCCATTTGCCCCTCCTGGTGATGATTGGGTTAGCGTCCGCCTTGGATGATAATTCCGGTGCTCATCTTATCCGGAGAAGGGCGCACCCGTGATCAAAATGACTTTGTCCCGCAATGAATCTGCGGTGAGGCTACTCTCCGGGCGAAAACAAGCCATTTTCTCTGAAGCTGCCGAGCGTGTAGCTCATTCTCAGTGTCGAGGAGGGTAATGGCAGGCTTTAATCCTTTTATCCTGCGTCAACTGTCGCATTATACTTTGTCTTCCTTGGTTGCCGCTGTGCAGATGATGCGCGCAAAGTCTGGTTCGGGATACGAATTGGATCTGCATGTGTTCATCGTCATATGTGGGGAAAGCCGAGCCCGGAGTCGCGATATGACAGGCGGGTTTCCCGAGCTCGGCCCTGCAGCTGAACCGCTGAAGAATCCACTGAGATCACGGAGTATGTACCGTACGACGTATACTTCCTTGAATTCATCAGCCGGTCCCGGGAATCCGGATATACGCTGAAGACAAGGGGGTAACACTTAAAGAGAGACAATGCGTGAACCTGCTTGAAGTACAGACTTCCTTTACTACAGCTTCCTTCTTCACCTTTTTACTAACCTACCATACCATCTACTCCACACCCTCTCTACATAACAACCAAAAAACAAAATGCTCGAAACTCACCACCACATCGCCTCCACCAAAGGCCTCTCAAGCATCACCACCCTGATCACCGACCCAACCACCGGAGCCGCCGTCCTCATCGACCCCCCATTCCTGCTCCCCGACGCCCACGCCGTCCTCGCCTGGATCACCAAAACCACTTCCGCCGCGGGTGGTGCCGACCTCAAAGCCATCTTCGTCACCCACCACCACCCGGACCACTTCTTCTCCGCCAACCCCATCCTCGACGCCTACCCGGCCGCCAAGTTCTACGCTGCCCCGTACGTCCTCGCCGGGATCGAGCGCGAGTACGCCGAGAAGGTGGCCTACTGGCCCTCCGTGATGGGCGCGGAGAACGTGCCGGCCGCACCCCGGAAGCCCGAGCCCTTCCCCTTCAGCTTCTTCCTGTTGGAGGCCGCGCCCGCGAGTCCGATTGTCCTGCTGGGCCCGCTGCAGGGCGACGCGGTCGATCATACGGTGTTCTGGCTGCCCAGGGAGCGGACGGTCGTCTGTGGGGATACGGTTTACGGGCGGAGTACGCATGTTTGGTAGGTTTTTCTATTTTTATTCTCTGCCTTTGTTTTTATCCGCATAGCGTGGTGGTGATGTTGATGATGATGATGATGCCTTTTTTCTTGTTTGCACTGCCGAGGACCTAGGTTCCTCCGGGGGTGCGTGAGAGAACAGTACGGGGCTGGCTGGACTGTACAATCCGATGTGCTATGTGTACCGTACCTCGGAACTTGCTACTGTATCTGCCGATCTCACATCCGTGCCCCCTTCCCCCCCCCCCAACCGCTTGAGATATAGAGAACCACCACTATATCTCAACTTCCTGTTTGCCTTCCTTTTCCCCAAAACCCCCCCGCACACTGACCCTAAACCACCCAAAACTAACCCATCTCCAAAACAAAAAAAGGGTCGAAGAACTCGAAACCCCCGCCCTCCTCGAAAGCTGGCGCAAGACCCTCGACCTGCTCGCCCTGCTGGACCCCACCAAGCTCATCCCCGGCCATCTGGAGGAAGGCTGGTCGCTGGACTGCGCCGCGGACCTGGCCCACACCCGGCGGTACCTGGACGTGTTCGCCGAGAAGGTGACGTACGCGGCCACCCAGCCAGGCGTGCAGGAGCTGTACGACTTCTTCCGGGACGAGTTCCCGCAGTGCCGCGAGAACCTGGAGTTCTTTCTGGGCCACCTGGCGAATCAGTTCGGGGAGGGCGGGACGGTGTGGGAGGAGAATCGGTGTCAGGATTTGGGCGGGAGGACGGTGGAGGGGTTGTGTGGGTATTGGTTCAAATGAATGAATCGGTTCTTATGGGTGGTAGTTGGAGGGGGAGGGGGACGAAGGTGTGTATGGCATGCATCGGGTTGAAATGAACATCTACAAGTCATGCTGCAGTTCTTCTACTAAACATTCATCTACTCAGCCAAAATCACCACTGTGCACCAGTATATTCCATTCCATCCCTATTCATTCCTATCCATCTAATAGTAGTAAGTAATGTATCACGGCATTCGTGGGTAAATAAATGCCTAAGCAGACTGCCAAGCAGTAAAGAGAAAAAAAGACGACCTGCACGGTCAGTCAACACATCATCCGTGGCGAGAGCACACCCCCGGCCCGTAACGCAAGATGAAAGTACAATCCGGCCTTGAGTTGCTGTCAACGGCTGTCTTCGGGTCACAGCTTCAAAAGCCCCGGTGAAAGATATCAGAATAACAGATCCAAAAAAGACACATGAAAGTGGAATCGAGATGGCCAACAAACCATTAGTGCAACAAAGACTGCGAGCGCATCTGTGCCATTACAGCTTTGGATGGGGGGAGCCACTGGCCATTCGAAGGCGAAAAGAGACATAGCATAGAAACAGCGAAGAATAGAAAGCAAAGGTCAAATAAGCAACCATTTCCGCAACTGGTAAATTCAAATGGCTCCTCCAACGCCGTCCCATTGTTAAAGCCGGGTATATCCAGCACCGTGATGCAAAAATGTACGGAGAAATGATAGAGTCTCGAGGGACGGTCAGACACATCGAATCCGACATGACGGGCCCCGTTCAGGAAGCCCTAACCGGTCCCTCGCCTTTAAAAGAGAATTTTCGAAACGATGCATGTGAAGCAGAGAGGGAACAAAAGAAAAAAAAATTGCGAACAAGCCAATGGTGCTTTTGTTGCCATCTCGACAAGCTTGCTGCTGTGTCGCTCGCTGCTGCTGCCCGTTTTATCTGGCCCCGATCCCAAACATACCTACCCCGTAACTTCCACCGCGGTCAGGCAGAGGGGTAGATATCTTCGAAACGTGGTCCTTTATGCAGTAAAGAGAAAAGCAATCAGTATGTCAGAAGCCCAAAGCACCATCATCATCCGAATGCCCTACCTTCTTCCGTTTCTTCTTTCCTATGCCATCACTAGCCGAGTAAAATGCACCGTCATCATCGTCATCTGCGTAGCCTTCGCCGTATCCGACAAAGCTATTGTCGTCGTAGTGCCGTTTGCGCCCCCGACTGGGTCGACTCCGTTCCGCGTCTGAGACGCCCGGCCCAGGAGTCCCATTCGCTTGCATTCGAGCTCCATTCGGAGGTGCAACGGCCTTCTTGCCAATATCACCGCCGCCGCCAGCATGCTTAGACGGTTTTTCGTGACCCAAAACATCTTCCCATTGTTCGCTGTTGGGGACCGCACCGGGCTCCATTTTCATAGCCTTTAATTGGAGCGCGTGCAACGCAGAGTCCATATCAGCTACCTTGATCTCCTTGCCAAACACCTTCTGGTTCTGCCATTCCTCTTCGGGCCACATCGTCATCTGTATCAGTCCACCGGGTGCGCCAGGCTCATGCTTCACAGGCTTATTCCGGCCCGCAAGTCCCAGCCCCTTGAGCTTGCCTTCGTAGGACTTCCGCAGCCGATTGATCTTCTCTCCTGTCACCGGATCCATTCGGGCGACGGATTTTGCAACGGGCCCTAGCCCGTACAAGGAAATCAAATCCAGGGACGGATCCGGACCAGTCGCAGT